TTTTCTTACAAAAGGCCATTACGTGACCTCACATGTCCTAAAACAGCAAGAGTCATTTGGACCACTTTTATGGTGCCTTTTTTGACAATTATGCAGTTTTACAGTCCCTGTAAGCTTATTTTTGCTACATAACTTCCACAAAAGAAAGTCAGACAGGATTATAACAGTATAGGGGTGAGTAAATGATGACAGAACATTCATTTTTGGGAGAAATATTTCTAAGAAGAAAGGCAAAAAAATCGTGTCAGTGAAGAACTTTAGATGTTTTGCAGGAGCGCAAAGAAACAACTTCCTTGTGATAAACTTGCCACTGACAACTACATTTTAACGATGTAATGATACTTCCCAAGAGAGAGGTTTACAGTTTGTTGAGTACAGCAAGTGCAAAAACTGGAAAAATGCATTAAAAACAGTTCATAAAAACAAAATAGACCTGAGTAAAAGAAACCGAACTTAAAAACCTAGGGGGAAAAAAGTCATATTATATTGTATTTGAGGCCTATCGGCAAACAGAATGCATCCACAAATGTTTCTCATTCTGTATACAATCGGCTAGATTATGCTAGAAAAGATCCAATGTAATTTAAGTGTTTGCTTAGTAAAATGCATGAGTTTCCAGAAGCCATGCAATCCAGATTAGCCCCAGGCAAAGCATAAATAGCAGTTCAGCTCCAAAATCAAAAAAATCTGGGACTGGGGAAAAAAGGGTTGGTCTCCAAAATTGAAAAAAAAAGCAGAGAAACTAGATTTGATTTCACAAAAAATCAGTCAAGCACCTCATGCAAGATGCCGTAGTCATCCAAAAGGAACTGCACTTCACTGCAACACATTCGAGGGGAGGGGCCAAAAAAGTTCAAACAAGCTCAAAAAAACAGAACAAAACAAAAACAGTACAATTTATTACTAAAAAAGCGGTTTTAAAAAAGGCAGGAACTGTGTGATTCATATGAGCGTATTGACCATTCATAAAATGTCATTTCATAAAAATCTGGGTAAACATTATTAGTGTTTTAATTTTTTATCAATTACATTAATTCAAGAAACATGCCATGTGTAAAATGTAACTCTTGAAAAAACATTTTTATGTAATGTTTTAATGACGACATTGTAGAACTGATCAAAAAATGTGCAAAATATCAGTCATTTCTAAAGTACATCAAATGTACAGTATTTAATAGACTTTTTTTTTTTTTTAGCAATAACGGTACTGTTTTTTGTGTTTTTTTAAAGCCCCAAAATCCTCCCCAGGAAGCACAGAGGGAGGCGGAGCATCAGCTGGCACCTGCCTTTATATGGGCGTGGGCGGTGCTGAATGGAGCATGAGGAGGGGTGTAAGGGGAGGTGGGGGCGGGTCTACAGGTCTGCGGCGGGCAGGTGGCTGCAGCCCTGCGAGATTTTGGAGAGCACGCGAGCCAGCGCCCTGTTCTCTGCCTGCAAACGCTCGTTATACTGACGCAGAGACTGCACCTGCTTTACCTGAGGAAGATTCTACGAGACAGAGAAACAGAAAGAACGATAGAGGAGAAGATGATAGACATCAGACAAAAATGAATGCAAAAAAAAGGAATAATGTATTAATGTAAACTGTTAAAGTGAACGATAGATCACTGAAGGAAAAAAAATATGGAATCTCAAAAATAATTCAAAGAAATTGAACAGGAAAAAGATGAGCAGACACAGACACACACATTCGTTTGGCTATAAATGGGGACATTTAATAGACTTTAGGTAGTCGTGGCCAAAAGTGGGCTTCAGCACACTTCCAAGTGGACATTAAGATGGTTTAAAATTGTATAAACAAAACAAAAATTCAAAAGCTAAAACTGCTAAAAATCAATACATTAGCTGACATCCTTTCTTATTTGAATTTTTATTTAAGAACTGGGTACTTCATAAAAACGTCTAAAATTTCATGGATTTTTTTTTTTTTTGAAAAATATATTTCTTCGAGTTATTTCAAACTCTAGCATTTTTTATCAGGTAGAATTTGCTATGTGCGAGTACAAAATAATAATAAAAAAAACCTGTAACCACAAATAACTAGCAATTTCATTGGCAATTATAAAAATGGAATCCTGAATAACATTAGTTATGGAAAGTTTTAGAATAATCTACGAGACAGAGAAACAGAAAGAACGATAGAGGAGAAGATGATAGACATCAGACAAAAATGAATGCAAAAAAAAGGAATAATGTATTAACGTAAACTGTTAAAGAGATCACTAGATCACTGAAGGAAAAAAAATATGGAATCTCAAAAATAATTCAAAGAAATTGAACAGGAAAAAGATGAGCAGACACACACACACACATTCGTTTGGCTATAAATGGGGACATTTAATAGACTTTAGGTAGTCGTGGCCAAAAGTGGGCTTCAGCACACTTCCAAGTGGACATTAAGATGGTTTAAAATTGTATAAACAAAACAAAAATTCAAAAGCTAAAACTGCTAAAAATCAATACATTAGCTGACATCCTTTCTTATTTGAATTTTTATTTAAGAACTGGGTACTTCATAAAAACGTCTAAAATTTCATGGATTTTTTTTTTTTTTGAAAAATATATTTCTTCGAGTTATTTCAAACTCTAGCATTTTTTATCAGGTAGAATTTGCTATGTGCGAGTACAAAATAATAATAAAAAAAACCTGTAACCACAAATAACTAGCAATTTCATTGGCAATTATAAAAATGGAATCCTGAATAACATTAGTTATGGAAAGTTTTAGAATAATAGAACTTTAAGATATATTTTAATATATTACAACTAGCTTCGGTAGATTTTTTATTTTTTTTTAACAAGCAGCTTTGTCATTATAACAAGTATCAGAAATATCTTGGGGGGGCCTTCAAATATTGTCTTTGACAATAAGGGGCCCTTGGAGTCAAAAAGTTTGGAAACCACTCCTAGACTAACCAAAAAAAAAATAAAAATAAAATAAATTATATATAAATTACTTATTTTGTCAAATTTAAATGATAAAAAGGGTACATATCGGTTTTAGAAATGAAGACATCCTCCGATGTCCCCAAATTTTTGCTAGATATTCTCAGTGGACATATTGTCCTCTGTATAGATTCACATGCACACAAATTCACACACAGACTCTTAAGAAATGGGGTGAATTCAGTGGGGAATAGAATACTGAAATACACAAATCCATCATGTCGCAGAAAGATTAAAACACGCAAACCTTCCTTGTAGTCGCCACAAACATGCATTTATACAAATTTATCACACATTAGAAAAAAGAGGCAACTCGTCATAAGATATGCATGTTAGAAAAGAGATTTGAAAGGATGTACAATATAACAGTATGGCTGAAACCAGTCAACTGGGCCTTATCACACTCACTATGAAGCAGATATAATAATATAATGAACAGAAAAGAAAAAAAAAAAACACTTCTCACAGTCTCATATACGAGCCTTAACAACCAAACGGGGGGATCAAAGTTTTGTAGCTTTTAGTCCACGTCCGTTATATTTGAAGTAAATCTATATGCTAGTATACTCATTAAAGCTGAATAAATAGACTAAGCCACATAAACACATTTCTACAAAAATGGACCATAGTTCACTTAAACACACGAAGTTAGAATAAAGAATTTTCATTCTTGTATTTATTGATATTAATGATGCACACAACACACACACACTTTAAAAACAAACAAAAAGTACCTTCAGTTCCTCCTCCATCTCAGAGATCTTCCTTTCTAAAGCTCTTCTTTCCTGCAGACACACACACACACACACACACACTGACAAGTTAGCGCACATGCCCATAAAACACACATAAACAACTGCATGATTCACTGCAAACAAAGAAAGATAGAGAATCGTGGATGCATCAGGTGAATGAATGTCAAAACAGAGAGAAGTGAACAAAGTGAAGGAAACCACACACTGCTTAGTGAAGCATATCAAGAGCTAGAAATATAGTTTGGTTTATTCATGCTAACACCAGGTCTGAGCACATTAAGTTACTTAATAACTGTATAGTGCAATTAAATTAATAATTATTATTTAAAAATGGTTAAATAATTGCTATGTTTATAATTTTATGTATTACTAATAATACAATGTAAATCATACCGATAAAATAATATAAATAATAAATTTTTTTAATTATAAATGATAATAATTAAACATTTTTATTAATTAAAATATATGTTAAAAGTAAAAACAAAAAAAACTGTTCAGTATGTGTATATAGGCATGTGTACCACATTTCAACAACAGACCAAATTAGTGCATAATTGAAGGAATAATGTAAATAATTAACAAATATAAATGACGTTAAATACTGTAAACGGATGTAACAGGAACCAAAAAACCAAATACAAGTTTTGGAATGATTTTCACACGCATGCAGATACAATGTTTGAAAGAGAAACCACACCATACTCTATATCTCACATGATATATTATTCTTTTCCACAAGTCTGGAAAGGTGTGTCGCTTTAGTGATTTCAAGAAAAGAGTGAAAGAGGGATTGTGATTGGCTGATGGGGTTTGGTTCTAACCCCCCAGGCTGAGAGAGGCACGTGATTCAGCCACTAGCAGAGCTGTAACACTTTAAATTCAGGTTAAACGTTACCCAAAGCACCCAGCTGAGCCTGAGACCTGCCTGCAACCTTCAGACATAAACCAGTGCGGAACAGTTACAAGGCCAGAAGTCAGCATTTATCTGGATCAGTTTGTAAACATCTCCAAAATCTCAGCATTTGAGTTGAAAGATGCTGATATGGGGCTTTATCTATTAACGATCCTTTATGGATTCAATGCCTCATCACTTCATTAGAGTGAAGTACACATGCTCCTCCACTGCTATGGCACATTAACTTGGATGGGGAACGATGATTCGATCCATTAAAACTCAACGGAAATGTTTCATGAGACAACAGATTCAAGTAACAGTTGTTTTTACCCTTTTCTCCATCTCCAGCTGTGATCGATCAGCAAAGCGCTCCTGCCTCTGCAACCCAAACAACACAATGGATGAGCTCAGGACATTTCAAATCATTTGTCATTTTCGGCGTTTTCTTTTTATGATTATTATTCGTTTTTTTAATCATTTTAAAGAAACTACAATCTCAAAAAGCTTCTGGCCTATTCTACTCTTTCTTTTTCTGGCTTGGAATCATATTGGTTGGATTTATTTGGATTCATTCCGATTATTTATTTCTTTATTTCATTGAATAACTCTAGTAATTTCTTTTCCCAATCTAAACTTAAACTCCCACTTTAAGATATTTCCAGGGTTTTCCATAACCGATGCAACAAATCACTGTGACAGTATTAAAATGACAGTATAAATTAACAAGGCGATCAAATAATTTTTTTTTTTAAATTTCATTTCATTTCAATTCACCGCCTGTTATATTTCTAAGTTTGTGGCAACCCTGTCTGATCCAACAAAGCAGTGTGAGAGTATTATCAATAATCAGAATTAATTCTGATTCATTTATTTATTTGATTGAATGATTCTAGTCATTTATTTCTTTTGATTCTAAATTCCAATTTGAATATATTTCCAGGTTTTCCACCACTGACGCAACAACACACTGTGACAGTATTAAAATTACAGTATAAATGTTAACAATGAGGAATAAAGGTGTTTAGGCAATTAAAGAAAAAAATAACCCAGTTGCTTTTTATTTATTTATTTATTTTTAATTAAATTTCATAGCTTTCTTTTCCCAGCCTGGAAATCATGCTTGAAAATTCACTCATATTTCTAGGTTTTCCAGGACAGTGGCAACTACAAAATTATCAAATTATTATCATTATCACAATTCATTTTATTGTTAAAGAATGAATTGGTGTTTTTTCCCACAATCAATGATAAAAAAAAAAATTTAAATACTGGTGTCTCTTTGAGTGCAGATGATACATGGGCAAAGTCTCTCAGAAAGTGAATTGTGGACAGGATCTGACCTGTGTGGCTTTCTCCAGCTGCAGTTTCAGGTCTGCCAGCTCCAGTTCTGTACCTCGTAACTGAGCTTTCAACTTCTCGTTTTCAGCTAAAATCTGCTCATAAAGCTGCAAGCGGTAAGAGCATGTTGGGTAAACACACAACCGGTAAGGAAGCCACTATTTTATGGGGCGTAATCATACAGCGCAAAGTTTGTACCTTCTTATAATCAGTGGTGTCGTCTCTTTCGAAGCGAGAGTACGGCCGCCGGCTCTCCCCAATGCCACGGCTACTCAAAGACTCGTAACGGTCGAGATAGGAAGTGCTAGTAGAGACAGGGTCATACCTGAGGGGGGAAAATTATGGATACTTATATTATCCATTTGTGTTCTCATAATGGGCATGAATATTTAGCTGATCTTAAGTGACCTGGTGTGTTTTGGGATACATACCTGGACAGTCTGTCACTCTGTGGATGTGAACAGAGAGAGAGAGAGAGAGAGAGAGAGAGAGAGAGAGAGAGAGAGAGAGAGAGAGAGGGGAAGTTATTACAAGGTCTGTACCTGCTGTTAATCAATCACATGCTCATAATGCATTTAGTGTGTCTGTTTGTCTAGTGTCTAGACTAGCAGAGCGTCTAGAATGCAGATTATCAATTAGTCTGGGATGGATTGTGACGCTCTCATTCCTGGCTCTGATGGCCTGCTTAACGCTGCTATTTAATGAGAGTCTGCGCGGGTCGCCAATCTATCATTTACCGCTCTACAGTAAAGGACGTGCTTGAAGACATCTGGGTGTAATCCATTTGATTTTGTCCTAATAAGTGTCATGCTTCAAAAGGTCTGACTTCAACACGAGTGTCACATTTATCAAGGTGGAAGTAAAAGGACTTTGGTCATCATTCCCTCCTCCTCCGGTTTCTTTTCTTTCCCTGAGCTCTGAGACCTCTCAGCCCTGCTGGGCTTTTCTTCATGAATTCCTGATCAGCAGCCAAGACTTCTTGGTCTGCTCTTATTCCCCAGCTGCTCAGAGCACGCACAGGGTTTTGGAATGGCATATTAACCACTATTTTTGGAAGTTAGTAGTATGCAGTATGCATACAGTGCACAATATTCCATATACATGCCCACTTCCTTTAGCTGATTACCCTGGAAGCACACTGAAGCACTTTGTGTCAGAAGTTCCTTTTCAATACAGAACAGCACACAAAGAGGAAATGTGTGCTATTAAGCTAACAAAAAAACAGCTGTCTCATAAAGAACCCACAGACCGCATTAGATTTTCTTTCATATTGCGGCCCGCTGAACACTTATCATTTGGAACCATCCAACCAAAAACTGATCTTTAGCTCTATTCGGCAATATCTGAGCTAAATTAAAACCTGGATGACATGCTGTAACAAGCGCACTTGAAAAAGTGTTGTAATAGGAGGATGATTTGAGGCGTCAGCTGGTTTTTCTTCCACTTGATACGTGCAAAATATTTCCTGTTCTTCTTCCATTGACCCAACAGTCAACAACAATGCTTTGTCCTACTCTTTGTTTCTTGACCTTCCTGACTCAAACAAATTGTCACCACATTTGAATCCCTCATTCCCAGTTTTCCTCCCAACTGCGTGTGATCTGTTTCCAGGATCATGTTGACACAGGATATTTATCTTATCCTCACTGGACTCACAATATCACTCTAGTCACACCAACACAAACAGCTTAAGTACACACCAAGCACGGCTCATGTGACTAGCCACGTAGTTTCTTTTATCGCTGGAGCCAGAAACTGAACCCTTAACTATTCCTGTAAAAGGTGACAATCAGCAGGCTGTGAATCAGGCCAACTTTCATTTTTAAGATGACTAATGCTACTGGGACAATTCCAGGAAGTTGAAGAGAGAGGACAGGGTCAGCAGACACAGTAATGTGAGTGAATTGTTTGTCCTGTCAAACATGAAGGAAAGTCAATCTGTTCTTTGACTATACAAGGTGAAAGACCGAGAGCTGGGCAGAGGAAGAACCTCAAAGTCCTTCAAAAACAGTCCAACACAATAAGCAGCTGATTTATTTAAACTTGGCATTTGTCTAAAGGGGCGGTCACACTAGACTTTGAATGCGCAAAATTTTTTCGGACGCCGCTGCGAATATGGGCGGGAGCAGGACATCACGCGCCAAAGTTTCCCCTCAGTTATCTCAACATGGATTCCGATGTGCTTGTACGGTGTATTTTGCGACGGCATCGAAAGCGTCTGGAAAGGAGAAGGCTGTGGGTTCACCCTGTTCTACAGACTCGGAATGAGCGGGGAGAGTTCCATTCTTTAATTCAGGAGTACTTTCGGCTCTGTCATATTTTATTACCATTTTTTTAAACTATAGTGAATAAATTGCATTAATGAATGAAATGTTCAAGGTGTCTGAATAAATTTTGGTTTGACTGTACATATTACATTTGTAAGTGCTGTGCTTTAAGTGCTATAGGTTTTTCCCTTTAAATAGGTCATTTTATAAGTTCTTGAGGTGTGCAAAATTTATTTTAAAATGATTCTGAAAATATAAATATAAAATAACGAACAACATTAAGTAATTTAATAATAATACACTTGTCTATAGTAATTATATTGTACTCTCTCTCTCTATATATATCATCTGTTCCTGTTTCCATTGAAGATGTATTATATAAAATAGGATTCTGCACTCCGGCTAAAATTAGAGCTTCCTCCATTTTTGAATTTCAGTACAGAGAGGTCACGCAGTGACTTATCGATCTTCTACTGGTCACACGTCTTCACGTGATGCGAATTCGCAGGTCAGAGTTCACCAAACTTGAACTTTCGAACGCAGTGAAATGCAAAATTTTTCGCATGAGCTTGCATTTCCGGTCTTACGCATTCGCATGCGTATGAATGGAAGTCAATGGAACGAAAAGTGCAGTGTGACCGCCCCTTAACTGATCCATTTGTGTTAGTAGATGCATTGTAAGTGATATGATGTTCACCTGAGGCTCTCCTTTAGTGTTGCCTTCTTCTGAGTCTGATGGCTGCTCTGGCTCGTTCTCGTCACTCTGTAACATAGAAATGAATTTCAAATTCCACTATATTCCAACTATAAAAGGGTCCAAAATTAAGCCAAAATTAAATGTTTTGGCATGAACATAAAATTTAGTTAATGACCAGCTGGCAGGTAACTTTTCTTCCTGGCCAGCTGCAATTGCCCAATCAGAAGAAATCTGGAGAGGCATGCAATAATTGGCAATATTTATATATTTATAACTAGTGGTCGACCAATATTGGTTTTTTGACAGCCGATGCAGATATCTTGGAAAGCAGGGTGGCCGATATAAAGTCAATATAATTATATTTATTTTAATGAATATTTAAGAAATCTGAAATCATTTGAAAATGGATTAAAAAATAAATGTGTTAAATTAACATACTTATACTTCAGATGACAAAGTATTTTTCACAAATAAATAAATATTAATAAAAAATATGATTAAAAAGTAAACACTGTAACCAACATGGCACTCAGTATTCTGGGAAGTTTGTGTGCATTGGGATTTGGGAATCATATTTTTTACAAATAAAGACAAGGTAACACTCATTTTACATACAGATCACAGTGAAAATGACATGAATATGGCAGTGGGCAAATGCATAAAAGCGCAGCATAATTTGAAATCACGAGTTTAAAGTTTGTCGATCGCGTGTCTCCAGTGAAGCTGAACTCTCCTCCTGTCAGCATTCAATTCACACGGACCGACCGCCACGCAGAGAACACGCGATCACGCAGGATAAATGCACACTTCACAAGATCTCACAACTGGATCCGACTTTGCAAGGTTTGTGAAATTAAATGTTCATTAGTCATTCAAAGATTTGTTTAAATTATATAAATCCGCATGAATGCTGACGACAAACATAGAAAGTATTATAATGTTTGCCTTTCTATTACTAATAGGCCTAATATAAAAGCAATCGTTATGATACTTTTTGTATACATTTTAATTCCTTTGTTTAACCATTCTATCTGATTATTAGACAGACTTCTATCCATATTAGACAGAACTGTTAATGACAACAGTAAAAAAGAGGGAGAATGTGAGCACTGTTTGCTCAGGCGCTGCCGTTTTCAGCGCAGTGAAAATAAAAATCCCGCCACGAACGCATCAGCCAAACAGGAAAATGTATCGGTCGATGCCGATATTTAAAAAATGCCAAATGTCGGCCGATATATCGGCCTTGGCGATATATCGGTCGACCACTATTTATAACCATCACGGCTGGTAACAAATTGGAGCTTGATTATAAAGCTCCCATGATGTCTTTTGTACCAGTGTCCATATAGAGCAAGATTGTGTGAGCGTGCAAAAGTTTCTTACATCCTGGGTCCAGAAGGACACTCCAGTCGAGCGTCTTTTCTCTCGAGGTCTTCTGCGGTCGCGTATAGAGCGTGGCTGAGACTTGTCTTCAGAGTCCCTGTCGTCCTCTTTTTCTTTTCTATCAGACTCTGGTCAGAAAACAGACATAAGGTTTTTTATGTGTACAGCTGAGCATTCTGAATGTTCATAAACCACTAATAGAAATCCCTGTTTTATTTATGGGAAGAATATAGCTCCAGGACTTTGTTGGAAATTCTGGCTGAGCTAAATGGAATAAAAATAAATCTTAGAAAATGAATGAACACTAAACAATAAAATAAATCTAATACCAGTATTCTGCAATAAAAGTCTGTTTTAATAAAAAAGTTACAGTAATGTAATAAAATAATAATAATAAATAAAATATATTTTTAAAATTTCTATTTAAAATAAATGTTGCTCTTTTAAAATTTCTATTCATCACAGAATCCTAAAAAAAAAAAAAGGCAGAAAAATGCAGTTTTCACTAAAATATTAACTTTCACAACTATTTTCAAATGTGATAAGAAATGTTTCTTGACCAAATCAGCATTTTAGAATGATTCAGGGTATCAGCTGAGTTTTAAAAATCAAATTCATTGGAAGACTTTAGACCTTTTTTAAGTCCTGCACAAATAAAATTAATGTCCCTACAGAATAAATCAATAAAATATAATAACATTAGCCTGTATTGGTGCAGCATTGGTGAGCATAAAATACTTTTTTCAAAAACAAAAACAACTTGCCAACTGCAAAATTTTGAACAGTAGTGTACATGAGCCTTTAAGAAAACAATATTGTTTCTTATTATCATGGGTTTCCGCAAATCAGAAAAGGAAAAAAATCCTCTTTATTAATAAGAGGAAAAGTTAGCAACCACATGAATGCAAACTGAAGCTTGGCTTAGTCAGTCTGCAACCATACTACAGGAACTTCCTGTCTGTATGGCAGTTCCTGGAACGCCTCAAAGCCCTCTCACTCATTTTCCTTCCTGTGCCATGTCACTTGACTCAGTGACCACACAGACATTGCATTTTGCATTGTAACCTTTTCATGACAATGAAGTAAATTTGCACATTTGCATTCTGAGGGGAACAATACATATAATTACCGCTGTACATTGTCTTAAAAAGTAAAGTTTTGTAAAGTTTCGTGACGCAAGAAATACTTAACTTTCCAAAAACTGGCAAGTTTATTGTTTTCATGCATAAAATGTGTTCTTTTGTTTGGATGAAACAGGACGTGGACATGACTTCATGAGATTGTTGGTGTGCTGTACCTCTCTCAGTGTCGCGTGTGGTGCGGCTGTAGGTGGAAGTGAGACCACTCAGGCTGTTGGGTCGGTTCAGAGAGGAGGTGCTGTACAGAGAAGAGGAGCTGCTAGACAAGGAGGAAGGCAGGGTGGAGGAGGCTGTGGTGGTTGAGGCCAAGGAGGTGCTCCGGTACTTCTGGAGGACAAGAAAAAAAAAAAAAAACTCATGTGACAAAAAAAAAAAAAAACAAGAATGCTAGTTAGAATTCCACAATCTGCTCTGTTCTCTGTGACCGGGAACAGGAAGGAGTTTTCCTCACCTCTTCAAAGCTGCGGTAGCGTGACCTGTAGTCATCCTCCTTGGTCTCTGTCTCTTTCTTCTCTTCTTGTTTCTCCTTGTCCTGTTTCTCCTTCTCTTCTTTCTCCTCTTCTCGAGGCCATGTGGGACGACTGCGACCGATGGTCTTCTCTGCCTCCTGGAGATCAGTCAAGGTCACACCCTGAAAAAAAGAAGGTCAAAGGATGACAATCATGCCATTCATTTCTGAGTCTGCTAAAAAAAATAAAATAATGCAAGGTCCCGTAAAAACGTTTATTTTCCTTTTTCGCCCTGAAGATGATATCACAGGTTCATCAAGTTCGTCGAAATTATCCATCCTCGATCACTTTTAGTCAGCTTTGACGAAACCCCTCTCAGCAAGCACGTTTTTTTCAAAGTGGCTGGCAGCCTTGTCACCTGACCTGAATACAGTGCGCTGATTCACTAAAATGAACTTATCGGCTTTTGTTCACAAACAGCAAGGGCGCGTGTCGGCTTCTGCAGTAATACGTGAACTCTGAATACATGAATACTGTCTTTTTTGACAAAACGCGTTTAGGGTTCAGATCGTGCTATATGTGGAGAATAAAGCACGGCACTCAGTTAATTTTTTTTTAAGTTTGATATGGCAGCCATATCACTCTGTAGCCCAAGACTGGATGCCCACTGAAGCGAAGCAGGGTTGAGCCTGGTCAGTACCTGAATGGGAGACCTTCTGGCAAAACTAGGCTGCTGCTGGAAGAGGTGCTAGGGAGGCCAGCAGGGGGTGCTCACCCTGTGGTCTGAGTGGGCCCTAGCGCCCCAGTATAGTGACAGGGACGCTATTTTTTTTTAACGGTCAAAAAGCAGTCCTTCGGATGAGACGTTAAACCGAGGTCTTGACTGTCTTTCGAAAAGAGTAGAGATGTGACCTCGGCATCCAAATCTGCCTACTGGCCTCTGACCATCATGGCCTCCTAATCATCCCCATATACTGATTGGCTTCGTCACTCTGTCTCCTCTCCACCAATGAGCTGGTGTGTGGTAGGCGTTCTGATGCACTATGGCTGCCGTCGCATCATCCAGGTGGATGCTGCACACTGGTGGTGGAGCTTTAAACTTCAGCTTTAACAGCTTTAAACTTCACCCAATTGAAGACATTTTTCACTCTTTACACTCAGGAATTACCACATGATTATGTAATATATAATTAAAGTAAATATTCAATTATGGTGTTTTATGTTGAGCCCTTAGTCACAACCAACAAGGCCTTGCTTTTGAATTTTCTCTCAGTTGCAAACAGTTATTTCTCCCATAAATCCCTGCCACATCACAGAGCTCAGGATGTAATAAATTCCAGGAAACACATACCAAAACCGAAGAAAGAACCAAGAACATTTCAGGGGGAAAAAAGTATTTTGTAAACAGCACTGTGTGGATCTGTCTATTATTAGAGAGACTTCCTGCAGAGGCGTTTAGATGATTGTCTAGACTTGCCTGTGTGGACCTCCTGGACTGCCGTGCCTGTCTGGATCTGGCTTTCCTCTGAGACTCGGACTCTTCGTCACGCACAGGGGTGAGGTATGATCTACAGACACAACACAAAGAAACAAAATCCTCTCAGTTAAATGTCGTCACTCCGACAGCTGAAGCAACATGCACTTTTGTTGAGGCTCTTCAGGGCAGCTTTAATGAGAGTAAAAATAGGCTTTGGAGAATAAATAAGACAGTTCTTACTTTATTAGGAGTTGCAACATAATACATTGTTTAAACTTATTGAGATTCTACGTGTCAGCATTTAAATTCAAAGACAAAAAACTGCCTACCGAAGAAAACATCTATTATGTCTTCTGCTGCTCTTCTTTAAATGATCAAACCAGATGTCCTACCAAAGTACATTGAGTTTAAGCAATTTTTGTTTTCCACAAAGCAAATCAAGTATGTGCAAAAATGCACTCAGTGATAATATGTTACAGTGTGTGTGTGTTAGAGGTCTGCACGGGCTTTAAAGTGAAGCCCGAACCTGGCCCGTACCCGAGATCGTCTGACCCGACCCGAGCGGCACAGTTAAATTTAGAGCCCGAACCCGAAATCTTTTTTTTCCCCCCAATTTAAAAAAATGCTGTATTTCACGATTGCATGCAACGGTCAGTAAGCAAATACATGTAAAGAAACAGAATCATTAAGGCTCGGCCAGTTCACAAGGCAAAAGAAAAAACACTTACCAGTTATGAAAGTTTATGAACATCGGGTGCAGCGGTCACACAAATTCTGCCGAGTTTTTGAATGGTTGTATACGACAAGACGATAATTCTTCCATCGTGCAAATTATGGTCATTTTTGTCAGTTAAGGCTCGTTAGCATTCGGCCTGCTTTAAATCAGACACAGAGATGCAGTGCGGTAAGATCGCATTTATTTGAATTAATTAGGCTAATTATATCATTTATTTGAATTAGCGCGCGCGAGAGAGAGAGATGCAAGTTGCATGTGTGAACCTGCATCTGCGCGTCTCTCTCTACAAGCAACGAGGCTTAGTTCCTTCAAAAACAGTGATTTTACTAATAAAAGTTACTGTGCTGTGTTGTCGTGTGCAATAATGTGTGCGCGTGTGTCCATGAAAGCAGCGTAGCCTGCATATAGTTTTAGTTTAGCTATAAACCCGAGTCCGACCCGAACCCGAAGCTATTAATTAAACATTAACCAGAACCGAAACCCGAAAGTATTTCAGGACCCGTCGGGCTCGGGTCTGGTAGCAGACCTCTAGTGTGTGTGTACCTGCGTCTCTCTCGTCCGTCAGAGCCCAGCACAGTTCCAGTAGTGGAGGTGGTAGTGGTGGTGGCTGCAGTGTTGATTGTGGGGATGACCGTGGCCGACTCTTTCTCCTTTTCCGTACTCTCTTCTGCCCAATACCTATTCCGCATCAACACAATTTACTAACAGATCCCACTCTGACTGTTTAGCTCGGATGTTCAGTTTGTGGTGTGTGTTGGTACCTGGACAGCAGGCTGCGATGTCCGGTGGGTGAGGTAACAGAGGAGGTGGAGGTCATTGTTGTGGAGGTGGAGGAAGAAGTGGAACTTAAAGCATCATCCTGCTTCCTTCCAAACGATCCGCTACAGCAACACAGACAACAATCAAGAGACAAAACCAAAGATAAGAGGAGAGAAAGAACTTTCTCAAAAGAAGTACCATAGGAGAAAACAGGAAAGAGTTTCCTCATTCTGAAAACCTGAGCAAAGCAAAACAAAGCAAAATAAAACAAAACAAAAAAGAAACAAACCTGGAGCAGGTCCATAATGCACAAATGAAAAAAAATATATAAATAAAACAAAATAAAAAATTAGGGCTGGGCGATATAAAGAATTTTTTTTATATATACTTCTGACAATGTTCTATATTTCATTTAAAGCACTGCTTTATTTGCATTTTTTATATATGCATGCTAGGCACTTGCTAATCATGCTAGCTCATAATTCTGAGAAAAAATTCAGAATTGCAAGATATAGCCTAAACTCGCAATTCCGAGGGGAAAAAAGTCAGAATTGCGAGTTTTTATCTCAGAAAAGTCCGAATGGCAAGATGTAAACTCGCAATTGGGAGAAAAATAAAAAAAGAAAGAATTGCATGATTAAAAAGTTGCAATGACCTTTTTTATTTTTTTTATTAATTAAAAATAAATTAAACTGAAGTGTCAGTTAGTTGTGAAAAACATTTTAATATATCACCCAGCACTATATTCAGTCCATTCTAATGTATAGTAAAACTCTACACCCCATAAGAAAATAAATCCCCAGACAGCAAGAAGCTACGCGTGGGGAACACAAAGACACATGGAGGACATGGAGAGTGTGTGTGTGTGTTTGCTGGGCGGTGCTCGGGCAGGTACCTGCGGTGAATGCTGTAAGACTGGTAGTAGGAGGAAGGCTGCTGCCAGGCTTTAGAGTTGTTAGGTTCCAGGCTGGAGGCAGAGGAGGATTTGGCGGGCAGGTCGCGAGAGCTAGACGTGCGGCCTAACGCTAGCGTGTGAGACGTACTGCCGTGTGGGTGTGGCGGGGTGAAAGAGGTGAGTTAGCAGGGGGCGGACAAACATGAACACGCATAGACAAAACGTTACATATATGTCTGAAGCACTGACTGGCTTGTGTGGGGCTCAGTTTCTTAAGTCATATTTTGGGATATAAAAAAATAAATAAATCAATAATATGTCACTGGACATAAAAATAGAAACTATAAGCATGCTTTATAAAATAAAGATAAAACACTCCAGCATGCTTTTTGTGTTATCAGAGTATGAAACCAAACCAGGCGGCACAAGTGCACTCATGCAAATTCATCATTACACAATGACACACAAGCACTCGGGTCATTTGGATGGTATGGGTTGCTTTCATCTTTCAGCCCAGAGTTTTCAAATTAGGGAAAATTTGAGGAAATGTTATTAAATGTCTATCAAATTTATCATGTGAAGTCTAAATATTAATTACATATATGTATATTTAATCATTTAAAACATTTCATTAAAGTACTGTCACAATTCGATTTCTAAAGACTGGTCGAAGATCATGATATTCATTATTCAGATTATTTTTTGTTCTACTGACAGCTCGAGTGTGAAACTGTAATAAACAAATCTGCATATAGTTTTGACTTAATACAGTATGACTTAAACTTACTATCATTCAAAAGTTTGGGGTCGGTCAGATTTTTTTATGTTTTTGAAAGAAGTATCTTATGCTCATCAAGGCTACATTTATTTGAGCAAAAATATAGTAACATTGTGAAATATTTTTACATTTTAAAATAACTGATTTCTATATTTTCTGTATTTTTAAAATGTAATGTATTCCTGTGAGGCAAAGCTGAATTTTTAGCATCATTACTCCAGTCTTCAGTGTCACGTGATCCTTCAAAAATCAGCCCAATATGCTGATTTGATCTTATTGACCCCAAATGACAGTGTTAATAAAGACATATTATAATATGTTATCAAATATCATAATTGCTTTTTCAATTGACTATACACAATATAAACGCATGCATGAAAATACTTCTGCCTCTGTATTTTAGGAATTTATATAATATTTATATGCGTCTCACGCAAACTCAAGCTGACAGAAGCAGCTATAAACGCTTGTCAGCAAGATAAAATTGCTAGAAGCATCTCAGAGAGCCGCAGGAAACAGCGACCGGCTTTCGCCCATCTCTTTGAAAGTCCTAGCCAGTAAAACCAATTTTGTTACTAGAATAAAAGCTAACCTGCGCTGATAGCTGGAGGTTCTGTTTTGCGAGGCAGTTCCGTCGCTGTTCTTCAGGTCTTCTTCCCAGCGTCTCCTTGTGTACGAGCCGCTACGTACCAGACTAGCAGCCGAATCCCTGAGAACCACATGCTACAAATAGTACCTCTGATTCCAGAGAACCATCTTTTACAATACTAAACTAACTGTCATTCATAGCAGTTGGAGAAATACTAATAAAAGACATTTGAGAGTGTACGGGACACTACCTAACCCCTCTTTAATAATATTCTTCTCACGTACAACATGAATGTGGTGCATAAGCCACAAAAACATGCTACACTTCAGCTTGTGAGTCTCACACTGCAACACACAGCATGGAGCAGCAAGAGGTGCTCTCACAAATAAGCATGTGTCTGTTCTTTACCTGTTTTCCTTCTCGTCGATGTCTGATGTGCTAACGTGTCTCCTCGGGATGGTTGGTGCAACATACGCCAGACGTGTCTTCTCCTTCTCCTGTGAAGAGGACAGGTTGGGGCGGGAATCACAATGCTGAACACACCGAGGCCTCACCATCGCTTTTTTGGGCACAAGTGAAATGCCAGTTTTGCGCAAGCCTTGACGCCACAACGCAGGACAGCCTGGCTCCCCCCCAGGCACAAGGGCAGTAATGTTATCAGACTAAAGCCATCCAAGACAACAGCAAAGATGAGTAGAGAGAGAAAAACAGATGATTGTGAAGAAAAGAAAAGCAAAAAAAGGGAGAACGAACCCCTGAATGAAATAAATCAAAAAGCAGCACCAGCAGCAGCAAAAGAAACAGATACTTGATGCACGTTTTTGTCTAAAAAAAAAAAAACAAAAAAAAAAAGATTGAATTTGATTTTAATATATTAATTAGGTTTTTAAAGTACATAATTTAATTATTAAAATGCTCGCTATTCATTTTTATTATCATTTATGCTTCAGATCAAGATCGGCTCGAGATGGCAGAAAAACATTACTACAAAAATGACTTCCTGAATGTTAAAAAAATACCTTCTCAAAACTCCGATAATGACACCGCATTGTTTGTTTGTGGGTACTGGGTAGGTTATGTAGAAACAATCAGTTATGACATAGTTTGGCCCTGTTCTACCAGCTGAGCTACAGGAAGACCGAAACTACAGAAAGGACATCTCCTTGGAAATTCAATTCTTTGAATACATTATATATACCTTGAAGTGCAAATTAGAGATGCACCGATCGACCGGCCAGGGACCGGAATTAGCCAATTTTCCGTATGATCGGCCCGGATGTAGTCGGCGTGGAAGTTCTTCACTGTGAGTGAAGAAGACACAAAGTTCGCAACTTGTAATATGTGTAAGGCAAAAGTTAACTGTGGGAGAACCACAGGGCTCGATTAATGCTTCTCTGGGGCAAGTGAGAGAAAATTTGATTAGCCCGACTGGACAAGAAGCCTTATTCAAATGCCAATAACAAAAACAATTAAGGAAGCACTAAAACCTGGCCACTAAAAAATTTCGCGTGATTTTTCTGATTTTATTGCATTCAGTGTAAACGGCGACTTATAATGTATTGATGAAGACAGTAGTCACTTGCCTCGTTTGTGAATGGATCAGCCGTTTGAAACAAATCGGTTGAATGACTAAGTGACTCCCTCATTAAAACAGTCATTTGCCGCCACCTACTGGGGGTTTGCGTTCATATTTAAAAGTATTATTGTATTTTTCCCAACATTTCTTATTCAGGCGTTTAAAAAATATTTAAAACATTAATCTTATAAAATGATTTATGCATTTGAAATTTTACAGTGTAAAGGCATTTATGGCACCTCAATTTCATCAAACAGTCTACATATAACGCCATTTCAGATGCAGCCTCTGTGTTTCCTGCAGTGGAAAGATGGAGTTTGTTGATACGGATTTCATTTGAGTGGTAACAACTCTACAGTTTCTAATTATTCTAACTGAATTAATTGACACAATGTAAGAATTTGATGTGAAAGAAAACAGATGTATATTTGTTTTGTTATATACAGCAACTTTTCAGTTAATTGTTATGTCGACCTCATTCTAGTCACAGAGCATTTTATTTTGAGAGTTGTTTAAGTGAGAGAACATCTGAAACTTAAGTCTAGATTGGGGTAAATGTAATGTTTAATAATTTAATTTATTATGTAAATAATTTTTGCATTGAAAAAAAGAACTTACAGTTCTTAGGAAGAAGACCGGAATCGGCAAAAATCAGTATCGGCAGGTCACACTTACCAAAAAAAAAAAAAATCGGAAATGGGAATCGGTCAAGAAAATTCCAATCGGTGCATCTCTAGTGCAAATAGTTGAAATACAGTGTTTATGATCATTAAAAGTCAATCTATATTTAGAATCCAAATAGCATTAAATAAAACCAAGTTCAAGTTATTAAAAAAATATATATTAAACTAAAATATTTAAAACCTCAACAATAACCCAATTTAATTACATTAAGTAATTAAATTGGGTTATTGAGTAATAATAAATCTGGCTAATGGTGAAATCTAATTTGTTCTGAACAACTGCATTTTCTCTACAAATTGTGTAGTTGCCTGATGAAAGTTGGCTGACATTGATGAAGTGTCCTTACTGTCCAGCAGAGGGCAGCAGGTACACGGTAAAGAGGTGTGGAGGACATTTTCTCTCCTCTCAAGTGCAGTGCACAGTCCCAGAATTCACTGCACACTGACAATCCTGAATATGACGTAGATCAGCTGACTTTTTAGTATTTTGCAACCGTGAAGCCACGTTAACATTACAAATCTGTAGAACTCCTTCACTGTGCTATGAAACCAACAGTCACCTTTGAAACGAAGACAATGACATTCATTCTGAAAAGCTGCAGATGCACCTTTCTCGCTTACTGACTCATGCTCAAATACATGCTATATAGAATGAATGATATTGCCAAGGAGAAGGCTGGGTGGATGGAAAGTTGGACAGCACGTTCAAGGGGAGGAATATATGTACCTTTTTGGTAGGTGAGGTTGGGGTGGTCACCTGGTTGCTGGGGGTAGTTGGAGACGTGACGGTGATACTAGCAGGTGCATTGTTAGAAATGCTCGACGGAACAGAAGACTTGGTCTTGTCTGAAAAAAAAAAAAGAAACAGTAAGCAAATGACCTTACTGATTACCACAAAGCTAGCTGGGAAAGTGTATGTGGTGGTCAATGTTTCAAACGGGTACCTGCTTCGTTCTCAGACTCTGAGTCTTCCTCGTCTTCTTCCTCACTAGAGCAGCTAGACTCATCCTTCTTCCCCTCCCCCTCTTCTTCATCCACCTTCTCTGGCTCCAGAGTCTCAATTCGTGGGACAGTCTTATCTGGCTCCAGTAGAAGTGTTTCTTTACTAAAGCAGAGATGAACAACTCCGTTAGGTCTACAATAGCAGTTCGGCTTTGCCTTTTAAAATGGGTTAAGGGGATAGTTCAAAATAATTGCATTAACTATTCACCCTCATGTCGTTCCAAACCAGTAAAGACCTACGTTCAATCTTTGGAACACAAATGAAGATATTTTTGATGATATCCGAGAGCTTTCAGCAACAACAGCAAAGCAACTACCACATTCAATGCCCAGAAAGGTAGTAAGGACATCATTTAAATAGTCTGTGTGACATCAGTGGTTCAACGGTAATGTTATGAAGCTACAAGAATACTTTTTGTGGGGGGAAAAACTTTATTCAATGATTTCTTCTGTTCCGGTTCAGTCTTTGCCGCCATTCACAAGAGGGTTTAAGCAGGGTCAGAAAGCGCTCAGATGTCATCCAAAATATCTTAATTTGTGTTCCGAAGATGAACGAAGGTCTTATGAGTTTGGAACAACATGAGGGTGAGTAATTAATAGTGCTGTGTTCAAAATATCGATACGACGATGTATCATCACAGAGATTTGACGATACGAGTATCGATACAGCTGGCCCTGTATCGATATTGTGGCACGTGTGCAGCAGTGGACCACGCTTAATTTTACAACATTTAAAATTGAGTAGAAAAGTGCGAAGTTTCTAAAAAAGAATGAATAGAGCATCTGTTAATAATCTAGTCGCAGAGGAACACAACTGGGTTGCCTGATATAAAGAGACGTAATCCCCCAAACAGAGCTTTACACTTGCGCAATATGGAAATATCTGCTAAGTGTGCTACTTATCTTTGTGAACCTGGCAACCATGTGCTCACGCGCTCTCTCTCCGCTTGCTTTCTGAAAACAGCGGTTAGCTTGCAGTTTAGCTATCTCCACTTCAAGTCTATTCTCAGAAAAGTGTGATTCATCAACTGTTCATTTACGACACAGAGAGAGAGAGGCTGTGTATGTATGAATTACCACCGTTTTGCCGCGTTTCTCTATTAACAGTAAAGCTGTGGCTTTAATTCCTTTAGAAACAATGATGCTACCAGCTCCTTGTTGAGAAAGATAATGTAGCTCTTGAGCGATTAAGCTATTTAGTTGATAAAATTGCGGGGCAGCGCTAAAAAGTTTGTTCCTGAATGTCTGAGCTCGGCCGTAGCGTGATCTGTGTGTGAGACTGAACTTAACACCAAACTGCTTCCCGTTTCACACAAATGCTGGCACAGACGTGCATGTTCGGCTAGAGTCGCTTTGAACTCGTGCATCTTCGGAAGCGGAGCTGCGCTGAAACTTAAAAAAAATGTTGTGCACACCGCCGCGCGAAACGACGTCGCGCGCACTCAAACCGAACTTGCGGACGCATCGAGTATAAATCAGCCTTGAGCGTGTGTGCATTAGATACAGTGAAGACAGTGCGTTAGTTTAGAACTCTTCTCTTTTTTTTTTTATTGTAGAGCGTGTGTTAATTTGTGCAATGATAACCTACCAGCAATGTAAATTATTTTTTAAACATATTAGAATATATAGTACATTACAATATAAATTTATTAGAACAAGTACATTATTATTTATGGGCTTAAAAACAAGATGCAAACAATCAGAATATTGTACCTGGTGGGGAGTGCACAATGTAAACATGAAACATATGCAATTACCTATATTGTACTGTGGTAGAGTTATGGAGGCCCTTCATAATGCAGAGGTCAACTGCCTGCTCTGCCAATAGTTAGAAATGGCACTATAGTAAGCAGTGTTTAATAAACAGCTGTTTTTATAAATTCTGCTGAAGTGAAATTCAGTGCAGTCATGTATCGTGATATGTACCGTATCGTGGCCTCTGTATCGTGATACGTATCGTATCGTGACTTTGCTGGTGATACACAGCCCTAGTAATTAATGACACTTCATTTTTGGGTGAACTATCCCTTTAAGTACCACAGCTGAACCCCAGACTGCTTTTTCAAGCGGACTCGGGTAGAATTTGCTGTTGTGCACCCAAGTTTGGAAAAACCTCTTAGATCAACCAAACTCTGATGGCAAACATCCAAACCTCAGGTTCTAGTGTTAAAGCACCCCTAGTCAACCCTAGTGCAAGTGGCCTTGACATTCATGTTAAAGTCAAGACATTGATTGAGTAAACAGTATATCAATTCCATCATGGTGGTGGCAGGAGCCGTTTACCTCTTCAGTGGTTTCACAGATTGATTATTGTCCCCAGTAGTCGTAGTTTCTATTAAATGAGACTTCTTAACATCCTTCTTTTCACTCAGAAGCTGAAACAAACACAGAACGCATTAAGACAAGGCTCAGAATTACATTTACATTTGAAGATCTGATGCCAGAAGTGAGAAATTACCAGATTCTGTTTCTTTTGCAGCTCTTCTAAATATCCCAAGATATCTTCATCAGCTACGTCAAACGCCGTCTGACCCTGAGAACCACAACGCAACATTGTAAGGGTTCAACCCAAAGACTACACAGAAGCTAGCAGCACACAGACAGAACCATAAATCCCATACCACTTTATTGACAATGTCCATTTCACACAAATGCTCTACTAGTATCCGGCAGGCCTCTTCTTTGCCCCAGTGTGCAGCAGCGTGGAGCGGAGTCCAGCCATCGTAGTCTTTAATATTTACATCATACCCTGCTTGGATTAAAAGCCTGCAACCAGTCAGAGCGACAGAAATAGCATGATGAGATTAGACAAATCTGGGTTTCTTGGATTTTGGTGCTGCAATCTAAGCTTGGCCTCATTTGCCAAAGGTCTGGGATATTATGTGGACCAACGGGTTCATTTTTCCATTGCCTAGAAGGCAGGTTATACATGCCAACAGTTAGTCATCACACATAAAAATACGCATTAGTTGAAGTTTTCTGAGATCCAACGCAAAAAGAACAGTCTATCCGGTTACAATCCTCTTGTTTTGGTGCAGCGGCAGATGGATCAGTTGTCACAGTCATTCATCTCTGACATCCACAGACCGAAAGCACCATAAACTCCTAACTCCTGACACACGTCCTGAGCTGTGTTTGTTCAACAGCTCACGATAATCTACTGTAATTGAGACAGATAAACAGGTTACAAACTGTCTCGCCCTGTGTACAAGACCCTTGGGATACTGAAAGAGTTGAAAGGTGAGGTACGGGATGAACTAAGTTAAGCAATAAAGCCTCTACACCTGCAGTACCAGAGTTTCATTTGTTTCTACCTTCACTAGCTGCTAAATCTCACTTGCTGGCAAAAGAATAAAGACAAATATTATCCCAGGTGTAAGTTGAATCCTTTCTGGATGGAAAATGGCAAAATCTTTCTTTTGAAGGCAAGCAAACTTACTTTAAAACCTCAGCGTATCCCTTGGCTGCAGCGACGTGCAGTGCGGTCCCCCCAGACTTGGCGTGCCGGACGTCGTTGATCTGGCCGCTGTTAAGCCACTGTCGTGCATCCCTTAGCATGATCCGCTCCTCCTCTTTCCTGGCCGCCTCGATATCCACGCCTGAAGCAAGATGGAGGGAGGGACAGACGCTTTGGATTAGTACATATACTTAACCTGCTCAAACTGTAGGATATCCAAGACGACAAACTACACGCAAAGCAAAATATATGGCCCTTTGGCATGATAGATTTTTTTTTTTTGATGCGTTAAGAATGTTGAACAGCTTATGCCATTATGTTTAATTCCAGCTGACAACCATAGAGGTCACCAAGTTGACTTCAGTGTAACAAGGTAAACGGTTTCAGGAATGACTAGTGTGTCTAAATAGTGTCAAAGGTTACGTTTGTGAGAAAAACAGTATGCCTATTCAAAACTGTAAATGACTGATCAATAACATTAAACTACAAAAATAAAATATTAAATAAAAAAATACATAAAATAAAAAGGTTTTATTGATTACTATCTGATAGACAGTGCCTGGAAGCTACCAGGAAGTTCACATTCTAGGGTTTACTTTGATATTATCACTTAACATTCAAGTGTGCATAAAAATATTCTATTTTATTGTTCCGAAAACACAACATGTAAACTAGTCCACAATGGAGGACTGCCAAATGGGTCACTGTGCCTCTAGACTATATAACCTGACATTTACTTAGGCATGTAGAGACCTGACAGCATTTAGCTAAAACAGGAAACAACAATAGAAACTTTGGAGCATGTAACTTTGAAGTAAGCAACCATTTACCAAGTGTCTAAATGCTTAGCAACATCTCCACTGAGCGCTACACCAAAACAAGATCAATGCTTTACATATATATACAGAAATATAACTGACAGCTACTTGACCTTTCATTTTTGTCAGAATAATGAACGTAAAAGGAGCCATCTCAGATTACAAATGAGCAGCATGAGGATCATGCCACATCCCTTATATGTCTACAAGCCCGACTGAATGGCCGGCAGGTGCGGCTTCTGGGGGAAGTGAAGTGCGATGTGATTAAAGTGACAGATTTTGATCAGTTTAGTTGAAGAGATGGGGCCCATATTTGACGAAATAGCTGGAAGCAAGCCAGAAAAAGATGGGGCCACGGGACAGAAATCTGTAGGAATTCCTGTGCAAATTCCATGACAGAGCTGTTGTGTGTTGCAAGAAAATTCCTATCGTGGGAAGAAATTGGAAGAGGTAAGAACATGGTTTATCAAGTGAAGCCTGAATATCATAGTCTTTAAGAGGTTAGGAATAGGGTTACAGCTGGTCTCCAAATACAAATCCAGTTTCCTTATGTATGCACTGATATTAAAATTCTGGTTAATACCGGTAAGCTGATAATTGAATTCATGCTATGGACGACAACCACTAAATCATTGATATTAAAGATAATGCAAAACATAAAACTGCTCAATTTAAAACTTGAATTGAATTTAGGCTTGAATTGAATTTAGGCATTACAACATGGTACACTATGAAAGATGGATATTCATATTAAGATTGGCTAAGAATTACATTTAATAACCAATAAATAACCAATATGAACAAACAACAAACCAACAAAAGCAAATCAAATTTAAAAAATAAACAAAAAATAAACAAAACTAATTAAAAATAAATCCAATCCAAACCAAAAACAAACCAAAACAAAAACCATAAAAGCGAATAAATGAAAAAAATAAAACAATATTGGATGAAAACGCATCCTTAGGTTAAGTTCTACATTTAGATCTAAACAGCACTATCTCTGAACAACAGTTTTTAAGCAATAACAGGAGCCTTAAAGTTTGTTTACGAGCACAGTGATTTGCAAAAGCCATTCACTTTCAAAAAGAGTTGTTGAATTCTAAGGGCATGTCAAGTGGCCAGCGTAAATGCAACAGAGTCTCTCGGCACACATTCGGTCACAATGCCACACCTGGTCCCGAACTACACCATTACTGCCATTCGTGTCTTCTCTGCTTACGAACATTAGTCCTTTATTTGCCGGTGCAAACCAGAGCACCAGCACTTCTCATCAACCCAGGACAAAAGGCAGAGGATATACAGTCGACGGGCTCTCGGGACGCAGATTGTTCAAAATGGTGAACACGTAGCGATGTCACCAGTGGCTCTGCTGATTCAACACGGCCAACAGAGGGGGGAAAACAGCTTTGCTTTGTCTTTCCTTCTTAATAGGTTTGAGTGCATTGTGTAACAGACAGCTGATGAGCATAATGGCTCTTTTCTCTCGTCTGAAAGACTGAGGCTGCACGTAACGAGTAAAAACAGGTAGAACAAAAGTGCACTGAGTGCCAGGAGAATATGCAGCCTCTATAAAAAAAAAAAGAGACAAACTGACCTCCACAAGAGGACTAAACAACCAATAGCAGTGGATAGGAGCTTGGGTTTACAACTAAAACATTCACTTTAAGTCAATTCAGTAAAGCCCTGATAAATTTGAAGTAGGGATGTTCATTTTAACCTTTTAACCGGTTAACCGACCGTAAGAATTTTGACCGATTAATACAATCAGTTAAACGGTTTAAAAAGTCATTTAATTTATTTCTTCAGTGATTTATCAAAATATTTAAAAAGGTTTGCTGCATGGTTAAAATGTGCTACGCGTATTAAAAAAATTGTTTTTTTTAGGGGGGAAAAACATAAGTCGCATTTTATTATTTAATTCAGAAATAGGCCTAATGCTGACACGAAATGTTTACAAACATTATAATAAACGTATATCCACGTAAAACAAAATGTTTTGCATAACATCACGGTGGTGCTGTGATAACACTTAACGGCACAGATTTTACAAAAAATTTTTTTTAATACATAGTTTTTTTCCCATATGTTTGACTGACTGTATTTTATTATGATAATGAGCAGGCTGCTTAACTGTGCGTGCGCATGCGGCGCCGGCGCAATCACTTGAATTTTTTCCTTCTAACAGTGGAAGAAACTACTCCTTTTAGTCTTAAAGATAATTGGAATTGTAAAAGGTTTGCCTTTATTTGTGTACATTCGCAATAAAAACAAATCTTTGAGCTTTTGTAAAATAAGCCTAAAGAAAAATAAGATGCCGCTTTCTGCCGTCTGGTTTCCTTTCGCGCAGCACAAAAATGAACTGAAACTCTGCATACTACGCTACTTGTTTTTCTTACATTTTCTTAATTTATCATTTAAGTAAAAATATGTTTCTCATACAGGCCTATTTATTCATGTATATATCTATATATATATAGCCTAGCTTTATTATGTTTTTCTCCGCTCGCAGAAGCGCTGCAGGTGATGAGATGCATGTGAATCCTCATGTTCTGTTGTTTGCTGCTTTTTGCGGATGTAAAATTAATCCCCGGAAAACAAATGTTAGTATTTTTAACGGGTCACAGACACTTATCCTTTCTAATTTAATTCAATTCAAATTTAAAATAATCTTGTCGGTTAACGGTTAACAATCGGTTAACGAGTGTCAGTTGGGAAAAATAACCGAAATGAACATCCATAATTTGAAGCGAAATCAAGGAACAATCTGGTGTGACGTCATTTCAAACAAAATAAGACCAAAACAAAATTTGTTTACCATTTGCTTCAGGAATTTGAAACCAGTAGCCAAAGCAAACTCTATGGAAAAGTTCGCTCCGGCTGGTAAACTACAATTGGTCTGTGGCATTGTTATTCTAATTGAAAGCGTTGATACATTTGCTAAAAGTAAACCGCTGCTCAGGTAGTGCTGCGATTAAGACCTTCGCTGTGAGTATACTGGGGCCTTTTGGGTTCTTTTACATAAGGTACATTAATCCTCTTCATCCAAAAAGTCAGTTTTTGTCAGACAGATTATGTCACCATCCATGATGGACTTAGCTCCTCCGACGTCTGATTTTCTGTGCAACAAGAGCTGGAAAAATCTGTTGCTTTGGCTAGGAGAGGCTCCCCTTTCACCTGATTTCAGTGGAAATGAGCAACTCCTAATGGATGACCCTGCGGAGGGGGGGTGGTGGTGGTCTCTGCTTAAGTTTAACCTCATGACTGGGGTCTCGTTCAAAAGGAGACAGGGAGTGGGAAAAAAGATAATCACATTGGAAGAGGCTGAAGGCATTATACAACACTCACCGTTACATAATGCCATCTCTGAGCTGAGAATAGTGTGGTGTCTTATAATACAATACATGGAATAAAGCGTGGGCTCCTGTTCTAGCCTGACCACCAAACGACAAGCATTGAGATAGAAAAGGACGTTCCCATTTGAGCCGTTCAAACATTAGGGCTCACAAGCAACGTGATTTCTGATGTCTGCAGGGGTCTATCACGCTTCTTCAAAGCTGAAGAGTGTCCTTCAGCCCTCAAATGAAAGCTGACAGCTGCCATTGGCTAAGCCACACTGGATGGCCATGAGCGTGGGCTGAATTGCGAATGTTATATAACATGCTCTTAAAGAGTGCGACATGCTAACAGCAGGGCAGAGCAATTATCAACAAATTCATGTTGAAATGAATTTTTCAAAATTCAATTTTTTCATCAAATTCAAGCTGTTAGGAGCGATAAAGGACAAGCACAAGCTCGGTTTTTGCTCTCTGAAAATTGTCTTGCCGCATAACCGATTTGAGGCTCATGTTTCAGGAGCTACTGTGGACTTGCTGCTGGCCAAAGCCACAAAAGCTGAATGCGGCATACTAATTGATTCTTGACAAAATAAAGAGAGAAAACAAAATATCTGTATGCCTTGGTCAGCCAAAATGAATGAATACCAATATCAGTCAAAACTGACTCAGGGTTATTTGTAGATTCTGGAACCGATGAAAGTAATAAAAGCCAGTTGAATTCACTGGTCAAACTGCTCATTTATTGGCTGATATAACATACTCAACAACAAAAACATGCTGCAACTCAAAACTAACTCCCCAGTTTAAAGGTCCCATGGCATGAAAATTTCACTTTATGAGGTTTTTTAACATTAATATGAGTTCCCCTAGCCTGCCTATGGTCCCCCAGTGTCTAGAAATGGCGATAGGTGTAAACCGAGCCCTGGGTATCCTGCTTCACCTTTGAGAAAATGAAAGCTCAGATGGCCCACTCTGGAAGCTTCCCTTTATGTTGTCATACGGGGAAAGGTTACCTCCCCTTTCTCTGCTTTGCCCACCCAGAGAATTTGGCCCGCCCATGAGAAAATGAGCAACTACCGTGCGAGGCGAGCGCAATATTTTTTTTTCCTCGAGAGACATCATGGTTTTGCAAACGAGCGAAGCACCTTACCTTGCCCCGCCTCTCTCCTCCTCATTAGCATTTAAAGCTACAGACACAGAAATGGCACATCCTAAGGAAAGCTCATTGTGGGACTGGCTCGTAGTGGCTGAAATTCTGCACCAAGGCTGTATTTCGGGAAAGAGACTTCAGATACAGTACTAGGGACCACTTAGGCCTATATAAAAGCATCCAAAAAGCAGCATGTCATGGGACCTTTAAAGTATGAATTATTCCTTTCTACCCTTATGAAATGCCTGGATTTGAAATCTGGACAATTGTGACTTCACAATTCTTCTCGACACACTCCTTAACATGCTTCCTTGTTGTATGTAATCAAGGAGGCGTGTCCTAAACAATTCATATCGGTCCAATCAATCACAAGAGCTATACTGCAGTTTGATAAATCTGTCAAGTAAGACTCTAAAATGCTGTTTGTTCTGTCTCAGATGCTGTTCTGTCAGTGGATGTAAAGAAACTGCACCTCAAAAGACTCTGCATAGCCTCCCTAAACATTGCATGGCTAAGTTTATTTTTAATGATGTGCCTAAGGAACTGAAAGATCAAGTTTCCTTTTGTTCGTCACACTTCACAACGAAACGTTTTGTCAATTATTCTAAACACGTGTCAGTTTTTCACATTATCTTTTATTGAAAGATACAGCAGTCAAGCATTGTATCCTCGGAGACAACGCAGAAAAGTACATTTATTTTTAATCTTGCAGTGTGTTTGTAATAAACATCAAACCATTGTTTAACACCATAAAGCCCCCAAGCGTATCCCATGAATATATTTTATTATAGTTTGTTACCATTGCCATTATTAACTCTTCACACAATGTCTAGATAGTGGTTTACTGCCATCATCTTTTAAGAAATTTGTTTACAGTAATATATATATATATATATATATATATATATATATATATATATTAAACAGAGGAGGTGCCGGAACTGAATGCGATGTAGCACGATACTACGATATTTCTTCAAAAGCAGACCGTGGAGACATTTTAATCATCCACGATCAAAAATCGTCATATCACACACCCCTACTCGGACATCAAGTACCCAGCCAGGTCAACAGGCAAGTTAAGAGTGGACACAGGAGTTGTGTGTTACGCTACTGGTGGAGCTCGGCTCTAATATATATTAGGGCTGGGTTTTGACAAATTTCACAATTCGATTCTCATTCACAAGCTTGCAATTCAATTCGATAACCGATTCGATTTAACAGTAGTTTGTTTTAAAAATATAAACATTTAAATGGTGGCTGTCATAAAAACTTGATGGATTTATCCAAACAAATTAAACATTGAAGAACAGTAAAAATTATAATTAATATATGGTGCATATATTTAGCAAAATGCCCCTCTCTACAGTTTATTTTTCTATATGATTAATAAGCTTATGGTCACGAATATGTTTTTTGTGGTAAAGGTGACGTTACATGACATTTACAAGCTGTTATATTGGCGTCTTTGCGCGGCTGAAACACTGATTGAGCGATTCCATGAGACAGGATACAGATTGTAAAGTTGTACTCTTTCTTTTAACTTACCTTCGGATGTTTAGTCATGATTATTTTGTGCTGAAACTGGTATTAATGTGGAGGAGATGATCAGTTCACGTGCGCCTCGTGCAGTCTGTTGAAATGAGGCGCTACAGCGATCTGTCACTTCACATTAAACAGCGCCAAAACGGCATTTATTGTTTGAATACTGCAATACAATGGACAGAATTTGAAATCTGAGACTGAGGTTTCATATAAAAAGTACCAGAACACAATGCTTATTGCGATATATTGGATGGGAGGTGCGCTTCAATGTTCCATCCATTAACTGAAAACAGGCTAGACTAATCGATTCTTGGGACTTATTGGGGAGAAGAAAAAAAAAAAAAAGAAACTTTGCAAACTTTATAAACTAACCTTGAGCAGTAATTCTACATTAATTAAAAGATTGCGCCAATTTAGTTCATTATTCAAAAATTTGTCTGAGCAGGTAGCCTCATAGGCAGCTCAAATTTGAGTCTTTGCTAATGGTCCTTTCCAGTCCAGTTTCTCTCTCACCTACTTCACTTCCTGCCAACTCTCTTTACTGTCCTGTCCAAAAAAGGCAACAACTCCAAAGATCATTCTTTAAAAAAAAAATACTACAATAAGTACATTTAATCCTTTTATTGAGGCTTTTTCTTCAGTATGCTCATGACAGCTGCACCACCCTGACACATCAACCAGCAAGAAATCTTTGTCTTGGATTGTGTGGCTAGATCTTGTTCACAGATTTCTATAGAAGAGAGTGGAAATGCTACGCCTCCATCAGCAGCCATTGTCACCTCCTCTCCTGAGCCAGTGAAGAGTCTGTACTATCTGCCGCTGATACATCCTGGTGAGCAAGCAGCCGCACACCACATCAGGCAGTTAACGCATGTCTGAACAGGGCCTCTGAGTCACAGCTGGGCTCCGTTTCATCATCAAGAATGGCAAAGGCCAAAAATAGAAAAACCATTCCATCTAGTTTGGGATCATTACCATGTGCACAATATGTCGTGTTGTACAGTATTGAGACAGAGAAGGTGCCAGAACTGAATGCGATGTAGCATGATACTACGATATTTCTTCAAAAGCAGACCGTGGAGACATTTTAATCGTCCACGATCAAAAATCGTCATATCACACACCCCTACTCGGACATCAAGTACCCAGCCAGGTCAACAGGCAAGTTAAGAGTGGACACAGGAGAAAGGGTGTTGTGTGTTACACTACTGGTGGAGCTCGGCTCTAATATTAATTCTGAGTCAGTGCACCCGCTGGAGTCCTGCCAAGACTTGCAGCCTTGACACGAGCACACGGCAGCTGGGAAAGTTTAGCATGAAGCACACTTGGCCATCCGTGCAAGCAATTAATTTGAAGAACTCTGACTCCAAATTGTCAGAAAGCAATGATCTCAACCACTGCATGACGTGGACATGACACCAAGACTTGTACACTCTTGCCAAATCATTGTCATAAGAGATGAAGTTTGGAGTGCCTGTGCAATGTGTGTCAAGGAGAGGCAGCAGTACCTTGCCGGTTGATCTCGTTTTGCAGAAGCTCCTCCATGGCCTCCTCCTCTGCAATATCCAGTGGCGTTTCTCCCTCGCTGTTTACTACACCAACGTTTGCACCTTGACTGATAAGATACCTGCAAAGACATGACAAGATGTTTAAAAAGGCAACATCCGAATTGAACTGACAACTGCTTCTTTTGAATTTTTGGAAGAAAGAAAATGAGAAATAATGAAGAAATGGAATGGGGCCTCATTTTACACGACTCCCTTCACAGAAACCTCAAGAGTTCAAGTGGTGATTTGCATCTTAATTAAAATTCAGTGAAGTGGTCCTCCACTTCTGTTACTAATTAACAGCGTGGATTCATGAGTTATAAAGGAGTGGCCGTTTCAGCGTTGACCTTGGCGTGATCAACACATCGCCCTCAATAACCTCTCTGGTCATGTGTTAGATTCAAGAACTGCAGCACTTGGGAAACAAGGCTGCACAGACCTGCCCTTACTACAGTCTAGATCACCTTACATATTCAAAGCTGCTCAACTAGTAGTTCACTACAAATCAAACACCCTTGCAAAACTCCACTTGGCTGCAAGTACAGAATTTGGGTTCCCTTTTTTTTTTTTTTACTAAAACCGACCTCAACTTTATTGTCCTTCAAAAACTTAGCGTTTTGTTTGAAACTGATCATCGGCAATGCTTTAAGATTATTTAATAGGCAAAACTGATGTACTCACTGTCAACCACAATCAAACATACAGGGTGGTCAGTATTCTACTGAAAACATGCTTAGTTTTACCAGACTGGTGCGAAACTACAAATGTTCTAACCTGACTAGTTGGTTACTGAACGACTACTCAACTCTACTCACCCTGACCCATCCTTAATTTATGTATCTTAAGGTGTGGACACATTTTTCATTGTTCTGCAAATTTCCGCAGAAGATACCCAGTCCTTTTGAAGAATATATGATAGGAAATTCTCTCAGATTTGGTCAGACAGATTTGCCACAGTAGCAATGTTTCCATCACCCTGTTTTTATGCACATTTTGAAGTATATCACAGGAAACGAGTGATGGAGTCAGCGCTGATAGCCTTGTGGGCAGTGCAATGAGATACAGCACAGTTACACTACTGCCATCAAGTTCGAATCCTGTCTTGAGGACCTTTCCCGCTCGTTATCTCTCTCCCACTTCGCTTCCTGTCAGTTCTGATCTGTCCTGTCATAAACAAGGCAAAAACAAATCTTTATAAAAAAAAAACAAAAGAAGAAAAGAGTGATGGAAACGCCAAATATCCCTCCAAAAAAATCCCTTAATTCACTCGCTTAAGGTGGTTTTTGACTTGTGCGGAAAAGGGTTAATGTGAATAATGGGAGATGGAAATGCATTTGCGAAATAAATTCCCCTATGCGCATCAAAAAATGTAATGTGACTTTGCGCTATGGGACGGGATAACTTGACTAACCAGCGGACCAATCTAATTGCATAGCATCTGAATTTATGTTATGGTCATTCTGAAATGCCAGAGCAAAATCTGTCGTCACAGTATTTGTATAATTGCCTCCAAGAACTGTCTTACAAAACTGTCCCCAAACAGCAGGTATCCACCTCCGAAAACAATGACCGCATTTATTGTGTTTTCGTCTGCTCGCTGTGAGGTGCAACTAATTTATTATATATGAACATTATTACATTCAGTGTCTTCTCCTACTTTTCTTATTGATATTTAGTGCCAGTTTATCAGGAAGTGACTATTTTGTTCTCCTTGACTCGTTTGATGGAAACTGTGCTTATTCACACATGTTTTATGCAATATTTTATGTGAAGTTAAATTCGAAACTTTGGATGGAAACCCGGCTACTGACCAACAGAAAGCTGCTTGGTTTGAAAGTGACTTCAGCGTGTGCTGTGCTTCATACCTTGCTACACTACTGACAATAGACAATGGTCCTTTTTTGCCCATGAAATTTCATGATTGTGAATGCACACCTTAGGCCTAGGAGAGAAAATGAGCTATTTTCAGATGGTTTTCAAGAAGAAAATTTGAAAAGTGTTCATTTACATGAGGTCTGTCATGCTAAATTTGTATATTTGTGTCATTAGGCTTTCGTTACTTTGTTTTACCATTTTGTACGCAATTCCTATTTCGGATTCTGGAAATGTTAGTCCTATCAACAGGCACAAAACAGGTCAGAGTACTCACAATATTCAGGACAAAAGCAAGCTTGTTCCATTTTACTGTTTGCCCTATTTAAAAGTCAGCTGATATTTTCTCTAGAATGCTGCATTCCCTATATAGACATCAAGCCTCCAATATAGCTCAAACATGAAATTCAATATTAAAAACACCCACTGCATATAGAAGAGTGACACTGACAACAAAAAAACAAAGACAAAGTCTGAACTCCAATTAAGAATTGTCCATGACAACAGTTATCATGATTGACATTAGGCTTGCCGCGATAGACGGTGCTGACGGTGATACCGGTGTTAAGCCGCAACACCGGTTACGTCACTTGCCCACCGCGTCACCGACACCCACCGTCGTTTTGATTTTTTTATAGAAATAAAAATCATTTAGTTCAGTAAAAGAACAGACACTACAATTAAAAACTGAATGCGGCTACTCAGTGCAGCGTGCCGAACGACAGTCGCATCTCAGATCAGATTTCATTTCTCCAGTGAGGAGAGTGAGTCGAGCTGACTGACAAGAAGAGTGAGGTGAGACAGACAAGACGATCGCGGATGATTTAGTTTCGAAACTAGATACAAAAGCGCCTGTTTGGCAATATTTTGGATTTTGAAAAGCCTGTTGACTTTTGCCGTTTATCTAAGGTGATTTTGGAAGTTTTTTTAAACATTTGTTTCTTATTTAATTGGTTCCACATTGTTTGCTGATTTTTTACTTTATTTAAACTTTGTGTCATTTATTTTATTTGACATTCGTTTAGCTAATAAACGTTCTACGTTTCTTATTTATTTGGTTATATATTATACATGTTTACTTATTTCCAGTTTTGTATACCTATTAAACCTTATGCAAGTTATTTGTTATTTTATATTAGGCATAGCTTACCCTATAGCATGGTGTATTTTTATTTGTTTTGTTAATAAAAGTTCTGTTTTATATATATACGCTAAAGTGAGTTTGACGTTGCATTTTGTTGTTGCATTCAAGCAATTGAGGCCTAACTGCCGCTAATTCGAAAGTGAAAGTAAAATGCCCTTTTAAGCTATTTAAAAGCAAAGGAAGGCGAGGAAAAATTCAAACGAACAATTGCTTTACTCTGAATTGCCGCCATTTTAAAGTGAAAGTAAAATGGGCACACCGCTTTTACAAGCTATTTAAAAGCGAAGGAAAGCGAGGAAAAGAGGGAACGCCCCGCCCCCGCGGTGATACCGGTGTTGTCACACATCGATTAACCGGTGGGAAAATTTCCTCACCGTCACAACCCTAATTGACATGACATTATAAATCATGTTACAATCCCAGAATGCACAGCAACAAGCTAAGTGAAAAAAAATCTCCACATATTCAAAATGACAAACTATTGATTATAAATACAAATTCAATCAATGCTGAAAAGCACAAACAAAATGTTAGAACATTGTTTATTAGCGGAGAAATATGCTAACATCAACATCAATTCAAAGCCAGTTCTCTCATGTGCAGGCAGCATTATTTTTGAGGCCCACAGAGTAGAGGTCTTCACGGGTCCACTTGGATCCAAAAACCCGAGATCCGACCCGAGACCGAGTTCGGGTCCAATACTTCGAGTACCTCGGACACGGGTCGGGTTCGGTATTAGCGGCCTCGGGTAATTTAAAATAAACATGCTTTTTCCAAATGGACCCGATTTGACCCAAATTCTTTTAAACTATCCCGAATGTGTAGATTACTTTCACTTTCGTGTTAAGTGAGGAACGCACATAGAAAAGGAGCATACGTTTGTAACCTCGCACACAAAAATCATATTATAGATATGAGATCCATCAGGAAAATCCACTCGCTTCATTATGCTGCGTGTTAATGGAGGGCTTTTCTTTTTTGTGTGCAGCCTTTCGCTGGAGATCAGACAACACTAGCGAATCCATGAATTATTAGGCTATCAATTTATATTTTATCAAACTATCACGTTTATTTTTCAAATCCACTGGTCACAATTGAAAGCCGAGCTCAGAAATAGGCTAACTTGTATCCATCAGGCAGGCACTAATATAAAGTAGCCTAATAATAAATTGAATAAATGTTAAATAAATCAAAGTAATGGAGAAGCGGCCAAATCAGTCAGCAGGACACCTGGATTTTTCCTGACTGACTGCAGGGCTGCAGGCTGTACACACGTCAATGCCGTTTACGCTCGGGACCAGTCGGGTTCGAAATTAAATGCTGTCGGTTTGGGTCGGGTCGGACTCGGGGCTAATTTCATCGGGTCTGTCTCGGGTCGGGTTTTTCTTTTAAAAAAAAAATGTATTTATGCACGTCGGGTTCGGGTAAGAAGTGATTCGGGTCGGGTACAGATTTTAGGACCCGAGAAGACCTCTACTAAAGAGGTGCTATTAATATAGTGTTTCAAGTCTGTCACTATTAAGATTCTATGACGGTAAGGACGCTACCTTGGAAGGCTGCTGCGTATGTAGGTAGCGGGCAGTGACACAGCTCACTAGGTTACGAAACAGCTTTAAACAGCCAAATTCATCATCAATTCACAGAAGAGGATATGTTTATCAATTCTTAGTACAGAAAGAATGACTCAATGAATGGAACTTGATTCCCTTCAAGCGAAGTGTCAGTGTTAAATCATGTGCACCACAGCTATAATTTCAGCACAGGTTAGGTGTTAATCCATCACTATGGTGTAGCGTGCAAACAGAGGTCACTTGGGGCTTGGAACCTGGGCTGACCTCTTAACCAGGTTACACATAGCTGGCAAAATACTCATATCAACAGATGAACTGTGTGGAAAAGAGGAAATTAAACATGCAACTAGGGCTGCACGATATATCGAAATATCGCAACATGCATATCGCAACGGCGTGCGATATCATTATCATTTTAATAATAGGCTACTTAAATCAAAACGTTGCAAAAGGTCAAAGTTTTAGTTCGACGCATATAGCAGAGAATTCCTTGACGTTAAAAAGAGTTAAGTGCAATAAGTTGCAGAAAACAACTCTTTGCCGTCTCTCTTGCTGTCTGACTCACATCTCAAGCGCGCGCACAAGCCGCATCTCGCACAGCGTCTCTTCACTTCTGCCGCACACATGCAAAGCGCGAGCACACACAGAGAGATGCGTTTCAGATGGCTCACGAACACTGAGTTGATTCGACTTTTGCATCTCCTCATGTTTGAACAGACACGTACACACAGAATTATGTCAATAGTACCCGTCTCGACGATCATTCTCGTAAACGCAGTCAGTTATGTTTTAAGTTAAAGTAAACAGCTGAGAAAGAAATCGGATGTGTATAATTATACTGGATCCGTGCAGTCGGATTTAAAGGGACAGCAGCCTATAAATATCACTAATGTTAATCAAACAACAAAACAGCTATAACAAAGATTAATCTCAATTTAATTCATACAGTGAACACTATGCAGTGTTATTTTACACTTAATTATTACATTTCTGTACCTGAATACTACTGTTTATTTTATCTATGCTTGTAAATTGTGTATTTCTTTTTTTACTGACTGTTCACTTGCCTTTAATCATGTATGAACTTTCTCAGACTATAGTTTTTGCTGTGGTATATGAAGAAGTACTTAAAGTGTATGGAAAGCAAAGTTACAATGATATAAAAATAGTGTCATTAATTTGTTTTTGTTTGTATGCTCACATTGATGTTAAATTACATTTTCTGATTTGTGACATTACTTTTTATGCAATGCTAAAACACTGCTCGTCACTTTCAGAAGTTATAGTGATTCTTTATTTTCCAAGAAAGAATGTGAAACAAATTGGTTATATAATTTTCATTTTTAAATATTTTAAAATATCATTTAAATTGATTTTACACACTTTAAGCAATATCGTATCGCATATCAAATATCGCATTTTTTAACAAGGTATCGCATATCGCATTTTTCTTCAATATCGCACAGCCCTACATGCAACTAAGATTTCAAATACTGGTCACACTTTATTTTAAGGTCCAATTCTCTCTATTAACAAACCATTAACTATGACTTTTGCCACAATAAACTACTTATTTGCTGTTTATTAATAGTTAGTAAGGTAGTTGTTAAGTTTAGGTATTAGGTAGGATTAGGGATGTAGAATATGCTCATGCAAAATATGTGCTTTATAAATGCTAACTAACAGCCAATGTGTTAATAATAGGCATGCTAATCAGCAACTAGTTAATAGTGAGAATTGGTCGCTATACTAAAGTGTTACCCAAATATTTTATATTACAGGCTTTGGCTGAAAACCTCACAAGTCATAGATGTTTCTTCAACTACAAAGGTTTGAGGTCAAGTTAAAATGCTTTTGAAAGAAAGTCTCTCCTGCAGACCAAGGCTGTAATATTATAAAATATTAATAAAATAGGGGAAACTTTTTTTTAGTATTAGTATATAGTATTTTTAATATATTTAAATTTTTTATTTCTTCCTTTGATGGCAACGCTGATTTTTTAACAGCCATTACACCAGATTTCAGTGTCACATGATCCTTCAGAAATCATTCTAATGTGATGATTTGGTGCTGAAGAAACATTTCTTACTAATATCAATATTGAAAACAGCTGTGCTGCTAGTATTTCTGTAAAAAACACAATACTTTTTTTTTCAGGATTCTTTGATGAATAGAAATTTAAAAAGAAAGCATTTATTAGACACTAAAATCTTTTTTAACATTACAAAGGTCTTTACTGTCACTTTTGATCAATTTGTCTAAAATAAAAAGTAGCAAAAATCTAAATGTCATGTGATAACATGACAAAGAAGTTAAAATGTATTTGTTTTAAATAATAATAAATATCAAACCCCGTGACAAAAAGAAGGAGAAGAAGAATCCCTTAAGTTTTCTGTGGTGGGGAAGTGGGACTTACTCAGCGATGTCGAGGTATCCGCAGGAAGCGGCAGCGTGAAGAGGAATCCAGCCTTCATTGTCGGGCTGGTTGATGCAGGCTCCATGCTCCACAAGGAAGGTCACCATGTCCACATTATCATCTATGCAGGCCTGGAAAAGAGAAGAAAGGAGTTAACATCTAAGCAAGAGTACTAGCCATTTAGCATCTCAAAACCGATTCAAATTGACCCGTCCAAAACAATATTCATGCAGCTTATAGCATTTCAGTTACCTAAGGTCTGGATTAAGAGCCTTAGCAAAACAGTTTCATAAACCCAAGTATGAGCTTCAGGGCCAAACATTAATCTTCAGTGGGAACCTATTCCTCTAAACAAAGGCACATTATATCATCAGGTAACCAAAATCCCTTGAGGGAAATATGGAGGTCTGTAATTAAAGCATGTCACCACTCGATGAGACAAAAGAGCTTGATAGAGACCGTGACTATATATATATATATGATATATTCTTCCTTTTTACAGTCGGCAAAGATCAAAGATTTTGGTCATGGCGATCGTGTTAACTGCCTAATTATCTTATATTTTGAGAGGGGCTCTCAGTGCCCATTGTCAGACTCAAACACCTCAGTCTAAACTCCACAACCTTGACTAGCGTCCAACCTCACCTCCCCATGTGCTCCCCTCTTGAACGGCTGCCCGTAAAATCTCCTGGTCTTACGGCTGGTTGCCATGACAATACCATAGACAAGGAAACACACAAACCAGCCTCACGTTCAGGGCACACGACTATCTGGTTGAAATCCTTGCCCAAATTTGGGCTGTTTACAGTAGACAGCAGCAGTATTTATAGGCCACTGTCCCTTTAAGACCTGATGCACGGATCCGATATAATGATACACATCACATCCGATTTCTTTCTCAGCTGTTTTCATTCACTTGAGACATAACTGACTGCGTTTACCTGAATGACAGTCGATGGGTATTTTGTGTGTATAGGGTGAACTATCCCATTAAGTCAAACTATAGCCAATAGGGTCACAAAGCTGAATTCCGCAGTGTTGCCAAAAGCAAACAAGAAATCTGCAGAACTACCGAGATGAGTGACGTTCAATTGCACCCCACAGGATTCCTGTCTAAAATGTCAACAATAGACCACTTAAGCTGCTCTTAAGGAACAAGTGGTGAACTTCAATACACAAAAGCACCACAAATACATTCAAACAGCTGCTGATCTGCCTTGTAACCAAAAATGTAAGCACCATGCTGTGTAGGATCTGGTCTGTGACGCACTGCTAAAAATAGAGGGTTTCAGACGTGCACAAGTCGAGTCTCAGTTTTACTCTTACAGTCGAATCGATGCCATGATGATAGATATGATACGAGTACCTAGTTCTGTTTTGACGCTACCACGTCTCGCTTCTCGCAGACAGACCTAAGCATGCAAAATTCAATCCGCAGTTAAGTGAAAACAGTCTCAGCTGCCAACAGAGAATTTATATACTGCTGAGCAGGTTTTTAATCAGAGGCAGGATCACTATACAAAATGCTACCTTTAGTGGACTTTCAAAGCTTGATCGGATATATCTGAGACCACTATAAAGAAACCCAAGAGAGGACACTAAAGGCCATTTTGTTCACCGACACGCTTTGAATTTTGAACGACTGCAGATGCTTGATTCTGGATGCAAATCAACAAGGTTGCCGGCTTATAGATATAATCAAAACAGGCACATTTATCAGGCTCCTAACTTCACTCAGCAAAGGTTATAATGGACGATTATTGTAAAAAATCTGAGTTGGGCCATAGAGATTGAGACTAAAGTCAATATTTGGAACATTTTGACAGTGTTTGATACCTCAAGATCTAAGCATTTGCTCTAAAATACTTTAAAAGAATAACTGTTTTTTAATCAGTGAAGCCATCATTCAACCGGAGCCTGCAAAGTAGATTCACAATGTTTAATGTAGTAACGGTTTTAAACAATCACAATGTCACAATTACACAATGTTATTTCCTAAATGAACACAAGGAAGATTTAGATGAAACCATTTATATAGGCCTAAATCAACAGTAATATATTAACCAGCAAATCATTTTAAAGCAAATCATTGCGGAGTGAACAAAAATGAATCAATAAATTACAATATCAGTCATTTAATTCAGACTTTTAATCACAAATCAACAAACATATATACAAAAATATTTTTATTTGTGTTTCGAAGATAAGTGAAAATCGTTTGGATTTGTGAAAGTCAGTACGTTTTAGTGAACTAACCTTTGAAAAATATAGAGATGCTTTTAAAAATAATCCATCTTAATATGCACAATATTCACCATATTGGTCAATTATTACATTAAAAAAAACTGGTCATCAAAAAAAAATAAAGCGTTAACATCCGATGTATCATCCAGTCCTAGTTTGCGGACCTGAGCGCTTCCTCTTCATTGCATAATGACTATAATAAAAAAAGTGTATGTGGACAATAATGTGGATGTGTGGACAATATAAATGTAGTCTAAAGGTCTACAAAAGCCATACTGTTTTTCAGAAAATGCAATTAGAAAATCTGACCCAGGACATAGGGGAACTTCCCATCACTAAGAGAAGAGACACTATGCCCTCGTTTCCCATAAGGCACTCTTCACATGGATTCATAAACATTGCAGACACATTAGAAGGTTTTCAACCAATCAAGAAAGTGCAGTTAAAACAGGCACAAAGAGTTTAACCCCTATATAATGACATATGCTGGGATATGAAAATCAGCCAGACATGAGCCTGTGATTGCGAGACTGTCTGCTGAAGTGCCACATTACTAAAACGGCTCAAAGGAGGAAGTGATGCTTCAGAGTAGCACTGTACCCTAATGAAACCTGATCCTACCCAGACTGCCAACTTCTACAAGACCGACCACATTGAATGTCAGTACGTTAAAAGTAAAGTGTGTAATATGCAGAGACAGCTTAAAGTAAACCATTAGTAGGATGATTTCCCAGAAGAGTTTAAACACTGTGACGCTAACAAAACATTGCTCTGTTTGTTTGAGCATCATGACAAGCCTGACGCAGTTACACTGGCTCATTCAACAGCTTAAGTTCAGGGTAGGACCAACGGAGGAGGATGAAAGTTCTTGGAACACATGTCTGAAAAATAATAATAAATATAAATAAATTCTTTTTGATTCTTTTTGTTGAAACTGAAACAAGATTAATAAACAAAATGAAACAAATTTGAATAAATTATTAAAAGAAATACTGGCTGATAAACTGTTGCAATAAATCTTTGGCAATATAAACAATAAAAAAACAGAATAAATTAATAAAATGAAACTATAATAAACTGTTGCAATCCTGTTTGGTTACTCGAGAAACAAGATTAATAGAAAATTAAATAAATTAATTAGAAAAATTAATAAAAAATATTGTATAAATTATTTTTGCTATTCTGGCTGAAGCATCAATAAATAAATAAAGAATAGCCAAAATAAAGAAATTAATTAATAAAATAAAACACGGAGAATAATTTTAGCAATACAGACAGAGGACATGAGATGATGATAGGGCCATGGCTCCAGGCAAAAAAATAAATAAATAGAGTAAAGAGCCATTGGCTCCTACAAGAATAAAACTTAGGCACCAAATTATTTTTTTAGGTGCCACAGAATAAACGTGTTTCATTTATTTTTATTTTACATTTTAACATTTCAAATCATAATGTCATGTGTTTATGTCTCATCTTTTCTTGACTTTATCAGCATTTTAATCCATCTTGTAGATGACCTGGGAACTAAGGTTCACTTAAAGTGGGAACTAAATGTCTTTTCCAACTTGAAATATACAGTCACAAAGAATTGTTCATTACACAGAATCTGTACCAATATCATGGGCCATAAGCATCATTTGGCCACTGAGCGTAGTTTGGGCTCCCCCTCAATGCATCCTGTAAATGTTGTCATACACTCTTAAAAATAAAGGTTCTTCACGATGCCCTAGAAGAACCTTTTTTGTCTAAAAGGTTTCATAAAGAACCTTTAACATATGAAAAACCTTTACATTTCACAAAAGCTTCTTTGTGGCAAAAGAAGGTTCTTCAGATTATAAAAAACTGAGAAAGAGATGGTTCTTTAAAGAACCTTTGACTGAATGGTTCTTTGTGGAACCAAAAATGGTTCCGTGAAGAACCTTTTAAGCACCTTTATTCTAAAGAGTGTATGTCTTTCACACTTTCAGTCATATGATGCGATTCAAATTTTTCCTTTCTCTTTGAAGTGTTACACGCTCTTGGTGCATAAAGAAGATCTGTAAAGTTGCAAAGACCAAAGTCTTAAAAAGTTAAGAGTCAACCACGCCTACCTAAAACGGCTCGTTCTAACACGCGCCCACATATCTACGTCACGATGTGGGAAGATTTGCATAGCGCTGGCCAAATGTTCACACAAAGAAAGAAGGCGTAACTTATTCTCGCTGTTGCCGCTGCCGCCATGTTGTTGAGGCTCTGTGTGTTTTATTGTGAAAGCGAAACTACTTTGTTTGGTCTTCCAAAAGAGGAAATAAAAAATATTGTATAAATTATTTTTGCTATTCTGGCTGAAGCATCAATAAATAAATAAAGAATAGCCAAAATAAAGAAATTAATTAATAAAATAAAACACGGAGAATAATTTTAGCAATACAGACAGAGGACATGAGATGATGATAGGGCCATGGCTCCAGGCAAAAAAATAAATAAATAGAGTAAAGAGCCATTGGCTCCTACAAGAATAAAACTTAGGCACCAAATTATTTTTTTAGGTGCCACAGAATAAACGTGTTTCATTTATTTTTATTTTACATTTTAACATTTCAAATCATAATGTCATGTGTTTATGTCTCATCTTTTCTTGACTTTATCAGCATTTTAATCCATCTTGTAGATGACCTGGGAACTAAGGTTCACTTAAAGTGGGAACTAAATGTCTTTTCCAACTTGAAATATACAGTCACAAAGAATTGTTCATTACACAGAATCTGTACCAATATCATGGGCCATAAGCATCATTTGGCCACTGAGCGTAGTTTGGGCTCCCCCTCAATGCATCCTGTAAATGTTGTCATACACTCTTAAAAATAAAGGTTCTTCACGATGCCCTAGAAGAACCTTTTTTGTCTAA